GGTAGGTAGGTGCAAGATAAAGGTAGAAAACATAGTTTAGTGTTGTAAGAGAGCAATTGTAGATGATCAGGTGTGTGCCTGTAGACTGTGTGTTAATCTGAGCTAGACAAGGGCATTAAAACATCCACGGATGCAGAAGATTTCTCTCAAAACAGGGGAGGTGAGGTTCTAAGCCTCACCACTGTTGATCCCCAATTTCTCACCTGATGGCCCCCCTGCGACTGTGCCTGTCTTAGGTTGTTCCTCCCTTGAGGAATCTTACCCGTCTCTGGCTAACCAGTCATCTTCCGGGGCCATACAGGCAGACGTAAAGTTGGTAAGTGAGAGAGAAGCCATATTGTTTGAAAAGGTTAGCTTTTTACTTCTTTGCAGATTTATGCCCTGTGGCTTCTATGCCCAGCATTTGTCTTGAGGTATCTTTACCACTTGGAGGAATTATAATAAATTGGATTTTATCAATGCTTTTTTTCTCATTTTTTTTTTAAAGATGCTACTTGTATCTTTGTGACAAAATTGTTTTTTTCAAACATATACAAAATGGTTAGTGTCATTTTACATGGATTTTAGCTCACTTTAAAAAAGGATGTGTGTGTAAGCAGCAGAAGAAAAAAGATAAACTGTATTACATCAAGATGAAACACTTCTGTGCCTGCAAGGACACTATCAAGAAAGTAGAAAGACAACACACAGAAGGGGAGAAAATACATGCAAATCATGTATCTGATAAGGGACTGGTATCTCGAATGTATAAAGAAACCTGATGACTCAATACAGTAATAAAAAGACAACCCATTTAAACATGGGCAGAGGACCTGAATAGACATTTCTCCAAAGAAGACAAATGACCAATAAATACATGAAAAGATAGGGGCCTTTAAGATGAAGTGGTGCATAACTTTTGAAGTCAGTGCCTAAGGCAGCAAAATGGGCAAACGGAGTTCTCTGGTTTGCTAAAATCTCCATGTGCAGAAGAGGACTTGCCATATTCTACTGCAACAGAACTGAAATGCAGGCATGGACTCAAGGGTGCATTTATTGTGTCCACATGGGTCCTAAACTTGAACAGGTGATATGTTAAAACACACAAAAACATTGCTCTTATTTAAACATGTTTGCTGACTTGTATGCTGTTAAACGTTAAATAAAAGATTTATTTTATTTTATCTAGTTATTTGTATTACCCTTTTGGACTTGACAATAAATATTCTTTGTCTTTTCTCATGTCTCTTGGCTCGTGCCCGTAAGTATAACTTTGAACTTTTCTGGCAGTAATTGGTCTATGAGTACGCTTTTGTTGCCGGTGATGAGAACATGCATTATATAACATGAGAAGTTCCTGGTATCATGCATTGTTTTGACATTTCTGTTCTGTAGTCAAATAGGTGAGGAAAAACGCAGACTGCCATTTCAGTTTTAATTCAGTCTAGTTAACAAATGATCTTGGAGTGTGGAAAGCCTTTCAAAGCCTGATGCAAAACTCAGAAGCTATAAAGTAAAAGATGTGCTTATTTAAAAATAAATCTGCAAGGTAAAAACAATGGAAAAGCATAAACAAAATAAACAAACAACAACAAAGACAGCTTGGGACACTGGAATAATCAAAAACTATAACCACAAGGAGACACCCTTTTTTCCCTTACTTGATCAGCAAAGTGCAGTGTTTTCCAATACCATTGACAAGACTGCAGAAAATCATGCTCAACTTGATAGAAAAAATGCCAATTGCGCTTCCTTTCTGAAGGGCATTTTTGAAGTCTCTTATAAGATATTTAATTATTATGCCTTTTGACCCCAAAATGCTACTTTTGAGGATATATATTTGTATGCACATACATGTACATACATGCAAGGATGTTCATTACAGCATTGTTCACCAGAGCCAAAGACCACCTAATTTCCCTCAGAGGGAATCAATTAAATACTTTATAATCACTCCATACAATGTAATATTCACAATGCTTTATAAGAATTTATGTCCTGATGTGGAAAGATGCCCAAATTATGTTAAGGGAAATAGTTTGCAAGATAGCACATAAAAAGATGATTTTCTTTAAGGGGGAGTCATATGTGTATGTAGTTACACATATACATATACACATACACGTATACACACAGTTTCCCAAGGTTACAAGGTATTTGCTTATGGGATCGAGGAAGATCTGGAATGTGGTAGGTAGAGTGACTTATTTTTCACTTACATTCTTCTGTGCAATGAGAATTCTTCAGCTGAAACACGTAGTACTTTTGTAGTAGTCATAACAACAGAACCAGTGGATACAGAGAAACAGTGTTTTCCCCAAGTGATTCTACTTCAGGAATTTATATAAAGGAAGTAATTGAATAAGTGTGCAGAGATGAATGTATAAGAATGCTGAATGTGCATTGTGGTAGTCTTAAAGCACTGAAAACCTACATGTCCTTTGGTAGAGAACTGTTGTATGCGTTATGACACAACCATACCATGGGATGCTATAAGTCTGTTAATAAGAAGAAACGAGGCAACTATATTGTTGACATGGAAAAAGATGTCCAAGATAAGTCTAAGACATATTATACGTTGTGATATAATGAGTCATAAGAAATACATATTTGGTCATTTATATGACCAAATATGTATTTCCCAGGTATATTTGGTCTTCATCCACAGTTCCTGAAAACACTGCAGTCTTAAAAGAGAAATGGGTGTCTTGTCATGTTAATGAGAGACTTTTGGATCCCCAACCAAGGGCAGGGGCTGCAGGCTGAATCAGCAGATGGCCAATAATTTAGTCAATCATAACTATGCCATAAAGCCCTCACAAAAACCCTGATAAAAGCGTATTGTTCTCTGCCCTTTCCGGTGCTGCTTCGTTGTGGGTGGGCGGGCCTCCGAGCTTGGGGAACCAGACCTCCCCAGGCCGAGGAGCCTCCCTAAGCTCCACAAGGACAGAAGCTCTTGTATTTGGGGCCCTGCCGTCTGTATCTCTTCATCTGGCTGTTAACTTGTATCCTTTCTTAAACTGGTAAACTGTTGTGTTTTCTTGAGTTATTTGAGCTGCTCTAGCAAATTAATCAAACCTGAGGGGGAAGTTGTGGGAACCTCCAATCTGTAGCAGGTAGGTCAGAAGCACAGGTTAACTGCCTGGGGCACCTGGAGTGGGGGGCGGGGGGCAGTCTTGTAGGATGGAGACCTTAACCTGGGGAATCTGCCTGGAGACAGCATCAGAATTGAGTTGAATTCTCCAACACCCGGCTTGGTGTTCAAGAATCTCTTGGTGGCTATGTGTCGAAAGACTCCCCTCCCACATACTTACATTGGAATTGGGTCCAGGAACTCCAATGGAGTTATACTACTATTACTGCTGTGCATAATATTGTTATTGTTATATATATATATGTAGGAAAACACACCTGCATATGTCCAAGATGTATTACAAATGGGAAAATCTTTAAAACATAGTTTTCTAACAAGCTGCCTAATACATCTTTTAAGTTAGGAAAAGGTCTCAGAAAAATCTCTTACCACAAAAAAATACATTAATTTTTCTATTGCAATCACTGAAAAAAGTTTTTTTTGTTTTCATATTATGCAATCAATAGATTGTGTTTTTATAGTGCCCATACAGCACAGGTAAAGCCTAGGCTGTGTGCCTCTAACACTGGATCGACAGTGTCCTACTTACTCCTCCCTCCCATGCCGGTGAGCCCCGAAGAACTTGGGGTGTCACCATGACCCCTACTTTTGCCTGGCACGTCCTTTCTGCCAAGGCCCGCGTCCTGCTTTCTTCCTAAACCCTACTTTTAAGATTCAGGCAGCATCAAGACTGCCAAGATGCCGGCCCTCACAGAACGCACTTTTCTTTCGGTGAGAGGAGACAGGTAAGTAAACACTTACGTAATGTAAGATCATGTCAGTGACAGTGACACAAGGTGTGAAAAAATAAAATCAGGCAATAGGACAGAGTGTGGAGGGCGCTACCTTAACGACGCTGGTCTGACCAGGGCTCTGAGCTTACCGGCCACTGGAGCAGAGCCTTTGAGAGCTGAGAAGGAAAAGATTCCAGAAGCAGGGTACCGGCCGAGCAAAAACCGCGAGGCAGAAAAGCACTCGGGGTCCTGCGGAAACAGAAAGAAGCCAGTGTGGAGGGGCAGCACAGGCCAAGGGGAGGACGGCGTGAGGCGGGGGGCAGATCCTGCAGGGGTTGCGGGCCACGCGGCGAGGTCAGCCTTGCTCCGAAGGGGAGGCGACAGCGCGGGTGCTCTGCAGCAGCGCACCCCGGCAGCCAGTGGGAGACGACGCCCTCCCCGGCCGGCCTCTTCGAGCCCCAGGGGGCTCGCGTCCGGGCCGCCAGCCTGTGAGCGGGGCGCCGGTCAGCACCGTTTACGTGGCTGTTTCCTCCCAGTCCCGGGCCCCGGCAGGCAGCCCGCTGCGCTCAGGCCTCCCGCCGCGCTTTCCCCGGAGCCTGGCCTCCCGCTGGCGCGGCCACGCGGGCTCCGGCCGAGGGCGGCGGGGGCTGCGGCGGCTGCACGTGGCCCGGGAGTGTGCTTTCAGGGACAGGTGCGGGGAACGCCGGGACGGACACCCTTTCTCCCGCGCCGGCTTCGCGTCAGTCCCGCGGGCTGCATGGGCGGCCGTTGCGGCCCGGCCACGCGCCGCCGTCAACGGAGGACGCCAGGGTGCAGGTCAAACAGCCCCCCCACGCGCAGCCGGAGGCGAGCAGCGTGCTTGCCGTTCGCTCAGCAGGCCGGGGGAAAGGCCCCGCAGCCTCGAACCTTGGACGTGTTTCTTTGACTCGGAGACTCACCTTGCCCACCTGAGAAATGGGACTCTTCAATAAAACAGGTAGGGGAGCACTTTGCAAACTTGGACACGAGTTGGGCATCTTAATCACTTTCTCAAGTCCCGCCAGCCTTTTTCCAAAGGGGCTGGAGTCAGCAGGCTAACCCCCAGCACAGCGAAGCGCGCCCCCGGCGGCCTGATTCAGCTGGGCGTCGCTTGGGACCTGGAAGCACCCGAAAAGCCCCCGCGGGGCGCGGTCGCTGTCTGGATCACGTGACTCCCACTCGCCGCCTGGCAGCTCCCGGGGCAGCAAGCAAGTGCGCACGCGCGCCTCTTTATACCTTTTTTTTTTTTTTGTGGTTGGCTCGGACGCAACCACTGTCAGCTCCTCCCCCTCCTTCTCGGTCTTCATCCTTCCTGACATTCACTCCCTTTCCCCCGCCCATTGCTTACGTTAGGCAGACAGGTCGGTGAGCCAATCACGGCCCTGTGTTCAGAGGCCGGCCGCGGAACCGGTCGGATCGGACCAATGGAGGCCTTCGGAGCGGGCGCGACCCAACCGGGCAGCGGAGCCGCGGCCGAGTGGGAGGTGCTTCCCCAGTCAGCGTGTGGGCGGGGGAAGGCGGGTACCAGTAGCCGCAGAGGCGTCGACGACAGCGGCGACGAAGACGTTCTTCAGTCTCCGGGGTGGGCTCGGTGCGTGTGGCTGGGCTGCACGGAGGGCTCGGCGGTCAGCCACGGTCCTAGGGGGGGTCGCGACGCCATGGCTGGGCGGTAGACGGGCTCGGGCCAACGACACGAGGGGCGGCGGCGGTTTTCCGGTTCGCGGCGACCTTCGGCGGGGCCTCGGGTGGGGAGCGAGGCGAGGGGCGTCCCGGGCAGCGCGGGACCGCGAGGCGGGTCTCGCAGGCCGTCGGGGGTGCCTGAGGCTCGGGTCGCCGCGAGGAGCCGCCGCCGACCGCTGGGCCCAGCCGCCGGGCCGCTCGACGACGACGCTCCCGCGGGGGCCCCGCCTGAGGAGGACGCGGCGGCGGCGGCGAGGCCGCGGGAGGCCGCGGAGGATGGAGGAGCGTAAGGAGGAGGGCGAGGCCGAGATCCAGGAGCACGGGCCCGAGCACTGGTTCTCCAAGTGGGAGCGGCAGTGCCTGGCCGAGGCCGAGCAGGACGAGCAGTTGTCTCCTGAGTTGCAGGAGGAGGCGGCGGCCGCCGCGCAGCCCGAGCACAAGCAGCAGAAACTATGGCACCTCTTCCAGAACTCGGCCACCGCCGTGGCCCAGCTCTACAAAGGTAAGCGCCGCCGCCGCCGCCATCTTGCCGCCGCCGCCGCCGCCGCCGCCTCAGGGCCGGGCCCTCGGCCGGGAGCCCCGAGGGTGGCCGCCCGGCTCCAGCCGCGGCCCCGGGCCCCGCAGCCCCCTCCTTGTAAGACGGCGGCGCGGGAGGTCGGCCTCGCGGGGCGTCGGGGGCCGGAGGCGGGTGTCCCACTGGGGGCTCCGGGGGCCCACCGGCCCTTCGGGCCCGTTTGCCGGTCGCTCCCGGGCCGGGGAGGGCAGGGGAGGCGCCCCCGGTTACAAAATGGCGAAGGGAGGCGGCGGGGCCGGCCCTATTGTGCCCGGAGCCGGCCTCGGGGCGGGGTCTGGGGAGGGGCGCCTCCCTCCGCCGCCGCTCGGCCGGGGCTGCGCCTGCGAGCCCGCGGCCCCCTCCGCCCCGCCGCGGCCCCCTTCCTGCCGGCCTTCCCCCCAGTGTGGGATCCCGAAACCCTTGAACAAAATGGCGAGACCTAACATGGCCGTTCCGGAGTGATTGACGCCCAAATAGCATTTCTCTCTCTCCTTTTTTTTCTTTGCGCTTTTTCAGACCGAGTATGTCAACAGCCAGGACTGTCTCTCTGGGTCCCCTTCCAAAACGCAGCCACCGCCGTCACCAACCTCTACAAAGGTAAAGATCACCTTGCTGCTGCTCTGCCGGCTGAGGGCACAGGCAGCCTGCGTCAGGGTTTTAGTCCCGCGTGCCAAGTGTTGTCTCGACCACCCTCTCCTGGGCCCAGACTCCCGTGTTGTGTGCTCTTGAGTGCAGCCACTAACGCTGAGTTACTTCGCAGCTTGGGGGCTCCGGTGGGGTTCTACAGCTAGAGCACTGATTCTCTGCTGGGGGCTTTTGACCCTCTCTCCCCGCTGGGTACACCTGACACTGGAGGCCCTTTTGAATGTCATCACAGAGGGTGGGCTGCTAAATGTCCTGCCATATGCAAGGCAGCCTCCCCCCCGTGCCCCAAATGTCAGTTGTGTTGAGGTTGAGAGGCCCAGAGCTGGAAAACGAGAGAGACAAGTGCTTTTCTTTGGAAAAGGCACACAGGGAAAAGAGTTTACTGTTTGTGCCACAGGCAGAGGTGGGAGGGACGCTTGTAAGCGCCTTGCGGAAAACATTCTCGAGTTAGGCAACTTAGAACATGATAGCATTTAAGTGCGTGGAAAACTAGCTAATTGAAATAATCTGTGAGCACCTTACCCGTTGCTCTTCCTTAGCAACTTGCTCAAACGTCTCCTTCAAACTGCTTCATATCTGATAGCACTTTGCTGACAGGAAATCTGTGATCAAAGTTTTGAGCTGATACATGAGTGTTCTATGGTAGTGCCTTTCTGAAGTTGATTTCCCCCCCTCTCTGAGGGCATGGAGAAGATAATAGCCCTTTGTGTTCTCTTAGTAATAATGTAATAAAGGGTTTAGATTTTGTGCACTGATTTTGAAGATTTGGAAATTTGGGTTTGATTCTTGGCAAGTTTTCAATGGAAAAAAGATTTGAATTTGTTAATCTTAATAAAAATGTAAGTAAGTCAGATGCTTTTCAAACTTAGAAACTGCTGATAGCAGTAATGAGCTTTGTGCATTTCCAGTTACAATAGGTTGCAACAGGCTGTGGTGCAATTTGATTTTCAGATCCTTATTTTTAAGTGAGCTGTGCAAATGATCGCAGGATTCTATGGGGGAAAATATCCCTTATGTGAGATTTCTTAGGTAAAATTTGCAATTTTGGGGGGACGTTAATTTGAGAACATAAACTGAAACTGGTGGATAGAATGTTAATTTTAGGGAATGAGGAACTAATAGGTCAGACTTGGGAAGAAAAGGGAGACATAAATGGTGCTTTGATTTTAGGTAGTTGAGTTCCTTACATTTTGACACCTGCTTTAATTAACACCCGTCAGTACTTTGAGGGTCTTCAGCATTCTCTGGAATGGTTCTTGGTTTCATCCAGACAGGAAATTTTGAAATAGTACTTTAAATTCTTTTTTTAAAAAACATTTCTTAGAGTGCAGTTTACATACAGTGAAGTTACTTTCTTAAGATGTTTAAGATGATTTCAGCAATCATACTGTTTCAAAATAGATGTACCTATCTCCCAACCCAGTGCAGGGCAACCACTGATCTGATTGCTGTATGCCTATTGTTGTGTCATTTCCATGATGTCATAAATAGATCCTGGCTGTGTGTACCTTTTGGGTCTGGCTTCATCTGCTTCCCATCATGTTTCTGAGATTGATCCATTGAATTCACACTACAGCTATTAATAAATAGTTAAGTGAATAAATAGTTAAATGCTACTTTTTGCTAAGTAGCATTCTGTTTTATGGGGTATAACAGTTTATTCAGTTGCATGTTGCAGTTACTTTTTACTTAAAGGGGAAGGCAATGTATTTTTAGTGTCTTCTGTGTGTGAGGCCTTTTTCCTAGGTCATACAAAAAATACGAATGCCTTCTAGCATTTTTATGTTCAGTTGTTAGTGCCATTGTGTATTTTGGCTTTAGGACTAAAGCTGGCAGTTTTTTGTAGTGCTAAACTCTTCATATAAAAAGATCAGCTCAGCTGAACTTTGAAATAATCTGTAATTTGATTATTTGATTTAAAAGTGGTTCTTAAAATTTGCTAGTTTCCTTTGTTCAGAAAACGGGACATTAAAGAGAGGCATTACTTTAAAAAAATTATAGAAGGATTTTGCATTATTGCAGATGCTGGATTGTTAGGGTGAACTAGTTTTATTTTGTACCCTGTTTTTATAAAAAGAAATACATCCCATTTTAACAGGTAGGAAAGAGAAGTTGTAGATTGTGGAATTTGGTACTGTAGTGACATTCTTACCTGACTTAAGTTGAGTGTGGGTAATGCTGTGCAGATCCTGACATTTCTTTCTCCTTTTTCAGGGTGTGGTCCTGAGAGAATAGGAATACTGCTGTAGGAATAACTGGATACCTTAAATGGAGCCAGAACAATTAGCAGGGTGGTGGTCACAGGTGCATGCAGCATTAAGTAGTGGTAAATATAAATCTGTCTTCCCAGTTCTGATGAAGTATTGAGATGTAATCTACAGGGAAGAGACTTTTGGGGGGATTCTTTAACTGGGCAGTACCCCTCCTGTATTTTGTGTGATTAAGCACTTATCTGGCAAGCTAAAAATGGCTCATTTTGCAGCCTGGGTAGAGGTTGGCACTTTTACCAGGTTCTTGATAACTCCTAAAATGAGCACACTGGAAGGTCAGAATTGAGGTAAGAGGCCAGCAGAGCCGTCTTTTGATTGCCTGTGGCTTTTGGATAATTCAGAAGTCTGGTTGGTTTGGTTGGAATGTGGCTGGAAGGATTTGGTGGAAGTGAGTTGGGTGGCCCTTCAGTGTGAACAGAATTCAGCAGAAGAGTGTATGGTTTCTTCCACTCCGTTCTGTGTAGTAGGACCAGACTTGATTTCTGGTTCTTGTTTTTTATCTTGATCTGGTAAATCTAAAGAGGGTGATGTTTGTTCAGTACTCAGTAGTAGTGTGTTCTTGGCCTAGTACATTTTTTTGATATCTGCAACTAAAGAAGGGGGTGAAAAGTTACTGAGGTCATTTTAATCTAGCCCGGGTTGATGCTTATCTGGGAAATACTAGCACAAGCCTATTTGTTTGCTTCTTACATCTCCCCACCTGCCCCCCTTTCCTGGGTGATTGGTTTTAATCTCTGTCTCCTGACTGCTCAGGAAAGTGTATTCTTTCTGAATTCTGTCTGCTTGGGATGACTTACTCAGTAGAGAGGTAGGACTAGTGGTTGTCCACTAGGACAAGGCGATCCTAGAGTGCCTCAGTGGTCAGCTTGAGGCAGGTGCTGGAGCTACATCTTCGGCTGAGCTCTTGAGGCAGTGCTTGATCACAGTCCCATGGAGCCACTTCTCACCACTTCCCTAGTACTTTCAGCTTTGTGTTTTATGCTGACCTCTATTTCTGATTCTTTTCCTGCACATTTTAAAACTGCATCTGAAACTTTAGTTGTGTGCTGAGTTCTATGTATGTTCTGTTTTCACTTGATACTGTCTATATCTAAAGATGTTTCTGGTTCTTTTCCCTGAACAGCGCTTGCCAAGGGCACTTCTGTACTCCCAACAGTGCCTGCAGAGGCCAACATCATTATCGTGGAGTCCATTGCTAGATTGATTT